CCCCAAAACCCCAAAACCCCAAAACCCCGTATGTTCGAACAGCAATTAAATAATATTTTCAAATGAATCCTCAACGCCCAAAACAAAAGATGAGTTCAAGGATGCTAAGCAGTGATATTGCTAAATGGATATCTAAGAGATGAAATGACAACGACTCCGATCTCTCGTCTAACCAAACCTTTGAAGAGAAGCAGAACTTCATCTGCAGGCTTATATCTAACAAGAAGAGTAAGAAGGGTTTCACCAGCCCAGCTAGGATGCAAAAGAGAAATAAAGCTAAAACTTCGACATTTGTTAACATGAAATCTCGTATTCTGTCTGCCGAGAGGACTGGAAGAGGGAATGGAACTCTATCACCCCTATCCACTCAATCTAAAGAAGGTAAAAACTTTTATTTTATTATTTAGACCACTGTTCAACTGCACAAAAATCACAGTTGCTATCCAGCACTGTTGAGAGAAAGACTTTGGATATGAAGCAGTATCTCAATTTTGATCATAAAAAATTCCGTATGAATAAGCAGAATGACCTGGTAAGGAAACAATGTTTATTATAAAACATCACCGCTTTAGGTGACTATATTTGTCGAATTTTAAGCATTTCATATTTCAGGTAGTAAATCTGAACATCTCGAGAACTATCAAAACTTGTTCATCTTCACCGTACTTACTGAGAATTGTTCTGGTTTGGGTTTATGGTGACGAAAGTTAATTTCTTGTTAATTTTTGGACAACAGCTGATAGCTACGATATTTTCAAGTTGTAGATGTTTCTGTTCCCAGAATAAACCTAGTTCTAACATAATTCTCTGCTCGTTAGCATGACAGATTTCGTAAATTTAAGGACTCGTAGATGTTTCGCCGAGTTTTTATTTTCTGAAATTTTCAAATGGCAATGAAAAATTATGAACAATTTTCATAATATTTTCCAAAATTGGGAGTAAAATTCCTTTTCAATAATTAATAACCGATTCTGACTAACCATTAAATAGGGTAAACCTGTTGCCAAAGATGCTACCGTACAAAGGAAGCTTCGAGTTTTCAGTCAGGAGCCTCGTATTAAGACTACAATTGCAAATAAATTGATGGCAAGATTTCAGAAAATCCGGAAAAATATTCCTCCAACAACAAAAGCTTCTTCAAAATCCCGAGTAAACCGGTAAATTTCACTTTTATTTAATAATGCGAGAAATTTTTCATGCTAAATTTACGGTATAGATTCACAAAAAGTAGGTTTGCAGTTGTCCCTCCAATCGGAGAAAAAGAGCAAAAGACACTTGCTGGCTATCTTAATGGTTACAACACCACTAAAACCATCGGACGCATTCAGTCTCGTCTTGACAACCAGAGGCAAAGACCAAGCAGAAGAATGAATATGAACAAAAATGGACTTGTAAGGATGTCAAACGTGACCTTCATGAGTGACCAACAGATCCCTCAATTTCTCAGCCCAAAACGTTTGGACGGACAAAGTCATTACAGATCTTTCCTGAGCCCTTCTTAATGTTATCTCACCAAAATATGCAATTATACTGCCAGCTTTGTTTTATAATTAAAATTCAATGCTCTCAAAATATCATGGGGTTTTGGGGTTTTGGGGTTTTGGGGTTTTGGGGTTTTGGGGTTTTGGGG